GATTGGACACTCACTGAGGAAGCCGCTGGGTGACATCGCGCGTCAGGCCATTGCTCGAGTGGAACCCGAAAGGTAAGCGGCGAGTGGTTCGTCGGTCCAAGGGTGACATGGGGGAGATCGTGTGAAGAGGAGTTGAAACAGTATAGACTAACATGGATACAGGTGAAAAGTACAGCAGAAGACAGAAGCAAGTGGAGACGTGTAGTTGAAGCCCTATGTTCCACTAGGAACCCAAGGGAACAATAATAATAAAATAAAATTAGTACGAATGATATTTACTCGAATGGTAAAAAATAGTTGTACCCGAGAGTCGTGCAAAAAAAAGAAAGATCAAAAGTAGTCTTAGGATATGTTTTTAAGTCCCAAGAAAGATAAATGCAGGATGATAAATAAATCTACGAACAATTCACAGTAATTCGCTATAAGTAACCATCAGGAAAATATATATATGAACAGATGGTCAGGTTTATCCAGTGTTTTACTGCAAGATTCATAGAGTGTTTATTTTTTTTTAATATTTCTGTTGACATAGCACATGAAGATAAGTAGGCAGGCGCTTTTGTTTTAAAAACTACAGTATATATATATATATATATATATATATAGGCTGAATGAGTTTTACCAGAAACACTGTTCAACAATTCAGCATTTAGTTATCTGGTGAAGTTAACGACAGTAAGGGTGACCTATATATATTAGCGCTCTTATCTAAATAACCCTGTTCAGAAGATATAATCTCATTTTAGGAAAAAATTGCAAATAAAGCAGAAAGAGAAGACGTTTAGATAAAAAACAAACAACAGAAGCAATATTATTGCTGGATTATCTCTACTTTCTTTCGTTAATATTATTAAATAACTAAGAATTGAATTGTAAATCAACTAATTTGTTGAAATTTAATCATGAGTTGATATCGGTTAGAGAACTGTTGGGAAACCGAGGAGTGCTGCATAGCTGTTTCGTCCTAGTTTAGGACTCTTCATCATCAGTGTCCATTTACCACAGAGGTTCAAACCAGGGACCTTCCAGTTACAAGGCGAGCTCATAGACCATTAAGCCACGGGGACTGGATCCAATGACTGATGAATTCCGAATTCAGGTCACGCTATATGGTAAATTGGTAGAAGTTGGTATTCATGGATCATCGCATCGAGTCCCCGTGGTTTATTATTATTATTGCTTCCTTTAATTCCTAGAGGAACATAGGGCTTCAGCCGTGCGTCTCCATTGCGTTCGGTTCTCTGCTAGAGTCTTCACCTGGCTCCAGGCCTACCCACACGTTTTCATCCCCTATTCACATGACCTCCTCCAAGTCACCCTTGCACTGACGACCAACTCGCCGCTTCCCTTTCGGGTTCCACTCGAACAACGGCTTGTCTAGTGATGTCACTTGATGCATTGTTTCCTCAGAGTATGGCCAATCCATCTCCATTTCTTCCTGCCTATTTGTTTCACAATCGGTTCCTGCTGTGTTGGTTCGCTCATTGCTAGAGATCCCTCTCTGTTACTGATCTTTTCTGGCCGGCCATCTGATCTTGAGTATTGAGCGAAGACAATTGTTAATGAAGGTCTGTAGTTTGTTTGATATGCTCTTTATGACGGGCTGGCCAAGTCTCTGATCCGTATAGTAGCACTGACTGACTTCACATTGGAGTTGAAAATCCGGATCTTATCTTCGTTTTGATGCTGAGTGCTGTTGACCTTCACACAGGCTTGATAGTCGTGAAACTTGTCTTGTCCCCGTGGTTTAGTAGTCTATTAGCTCGCCTTGAAACTGGAAGGTCCTTGGTTTTAACTCCTGTGGTAGGTGGGTACTGATGAAGATTCCCGATCTAGGACGAGACAACTCTCTATTACTCCCTGGTTTTCACAATGGTTCTCTAACTGATGTCAGCTGATGATGAAACTCCGTAACCAATCAAATCAAATCCCTGTAAGCCGATGCTTGTGTAATGAACAGTTGTCCAGGGGTTCTCTTACTAATTTCAGCTAACGACCAAGCTTGAAATCAATCGAATCTCTACAAAGTAACTCTTGGAAATTAAGTTTTTTTTAACAGTTTTCCTGTTTTTCTTTTGATTTCTCACTCTTGTACCTCGTGAAGTGAAATGATCACTGCGATTTTCGCATATCGGACTCTTGAATGGACGGCTCGATCTTACCAAGCAGTAGAATTCAAGGTGCTATTTGACAGAAAGGGAGTAATATGAATTTAAGAAAAGAAAATTATTCAGACGCTTCTACTATCATGGTATGACGTGTGCTACTGACAAGATTTATCAGTAGTATGTGAAGAGACGTTCATTGGGATAAAAATATCGAATAGTGGAGAGATAGATTTGATATGAAAGAGAGGAAATGAACCAGTATCGTGGCAACATATGGAAGACACAAAAAGAAGACAAAGAAACACACTAAGAAGGAAAGAAGTAGTGCAACTATGAAGTTCTGTGTAAATGACGATAATCTGCCTATATGTGTATGTCAAATCCCGTTAACAACAAGTTTCTTGTCTTCTCTGGCTGCAATGGTAACAACCTTGGTGTATATATTACCAACTTGACTTTATTTATTTGCTTTTTTTTAACTCTTTATATCTCTTGAATTTCTTTTGAAATCTTACTTAATTTCAAACTGTCTTTCGGTTCTATATATGTACCGTGAACACAACTCATTCATTAAGTAATTCATCTTACTGAATAAATGTAATAAACATATTAAGCTCCTCTTATTGACTGATTGGTATTGACAAGTATGTGTATAACAACTCATCACTTCTGCTTTTTTTCTTTTTCAATATTGCCTAAATGAGGGTTATTCATAAACATCAATCTGCCTCTGTTCAACGAAAGTTTTATTCATTACAAACGTTACTAACAACTTTGGGATATAAAAATCGTTGGTTTTGAACACACTCTGAATTATGTTTCTTGAAACACAAAGTCGTATGGTATTACTTACTAAACTCAATTTATTTCCAGTTATCAAGTAAAGTTAATCTTAAGTACAATCTGAAATTTTACATGTAGGATCTTGTGTCTGGAGCCTAATAGTCACCCAATTTCCTGAGCTGAAATCAGTATTCAATTCCGTCGACCGAGAGGTACTATGTCGAATTTTGGCCGTGAAGAGAATACCGAGAAAATACATCGCACTGATCAAGGCGCTCTACTCGAACTTATGCAGCCAACTAGGTGAGAGCCCACGTAGAGTTGTCATCTGACAAATGTGGTGAGAAACAGTGGTTTCCAGCAGGTATGCCCCGTTCCTGTCTAATTACATCATAGATTCACCAATGGGATTGACTCTAATTGACTTCACCAACTTAGGAATTGATTTAATACCAGAGAATAGTCTTGTTGAATTAGAACACGCAGATGACATAGTCCTCCATCCTAGATGAAGACGCTAACAAAATTTTGAGTATTCTGAACACCTTGAGCAGCAGTCTTAGAATGTTTGGTATGGGATTCATCCCCATCAAATATGAGATGAACTGGACTACATTGTCTCCAATCCTAGAAATAAGGAGAGAATAGGTGGAGCACATTGACCAATTCACTTATTCGAGAAGTCGCCAGCCTCAGAGGATTGATCACTGACGAAATGCCACCATGGATACAGAAGGCTCGTTTGGTATATGCCAACTTAAGCCATCTCTGACGTAGACGTGATATCTGGCTGGCTGTCGATCAATATTGTGTTTTCCATGATGTCGAATCATCAACCTGAAAACAATCTGGAAGTCCTCGTCACTCAGCTTCAACAACAAAATTCGGATTTTCAATACAAACGTCAAGTCAGTTCTTCTATACGCGGATCCGAAACTTGGCGGGTCACAAAGAACATTTCCAACAGCCTGTTGCAGACCTTTATCAATATCTGTTTTCGCTCTTTACTGAAGATCAGATGGCCGGGAAGAATCACCAACAAGAAACTATGGGAACAAACAAAACAAGAACCAATCGCCCAACAAATATGCAGGAGAAAGTGGAGATGGATTGGACACTCGCTGAGGAGGCCACTCGCTGGGTGACATTGCGCGTCAGGCCATTGCTCGGGTGGAACCCGAAAGGAAAGAGGCGAGTGGGACGTTCAAGGGTGACATGGAGGAGATCATGTGAAGAGAAATTGAAATAGTATGGACTAACATAGATGCAGTTGAAGCAAGTGGAGACGTGCAGTTGAAGCCCTATGTTCCACTAGGAACCCAACGGAACAATAATAATAACAATACATGATGTCGAATCATTAAGATCACAAAATCTAAAAGGTGTCTGTCGGTAAAAACATGCTTCTTTTAAAGAATATGAATATGAATAAACGCAGTATTAGGCTAAACATCAGATCTAAAAAATTCAGTGGCCAAGAATGATAATTAATATATTCTTTTTCAAAAGTCGGTTTGTAGGGATATGATTCGAAGTTCGTTTGAAGTTTGATCTAAGATGGATATCAGTTAGGGAATCACTGAAACCCCCCGAGAGAGTAATGAACCATTATTTCGTTCTAGTTTGAGACTGGTGCTAGAAACACGAATTGATAGAAGTTGGAATTCAAGGGTGATGGGATCTGAATGGTCTAAGAGCTCGCCTTGTAACCGGGAGCTCCTATTTTCGAACCCAGACAGTTCCGTAGTGCTGAAGAGTCTCAATCAGGGATGAAACAGCTGTCCAAAACGCTCTGGCTTTCAATGGTTCTCTAAATGAGATCACCCCCTCATGATTAAAATAAACATAGATTATTATTACTGGATTCTAATGATTAATGCTCAAATTGAATTTTATTCAACCCAATAATATAAATTTCACACGAATGAATACTTATGTCAAAAACATACGGGAGGAAATGAAACTATAGCCTGATTTTGTTTCAGGAATAAGTTCATAGATTGAGGTAATCACAAATAAAAGTAAGCTGGACAATACAGTCTCATAGGTAAGACATATTTAAACAACGAAAAATATATGTTCAAAAAACAATAAATGTTGAACGCTTACTTCAATTGATCCAATAATTGTGTAACATCATTAAATTCATGATGAACTTCTGACAACTGGCCATCTGGATTACTACTTGTATTATTATTATTATTATTAGATAATTTTCGATTGTTTAACATCCCGTAAGATTTATTCTCTTTATTATTAATGTCTACGCTTCCACTGCCGACGCTACCAATTTTTCCCGCGTCTTCTGTACCGCCAACACCACCTCCTGTTGTAGAACCACCAGTTCCAGCTTGTTCTGTATCATTTTCATCAGTTGCTTCATCTTTTTTCTCTTCCATTTGACCAGTATCAGCCAAATTATCAACAGCAATAGCCAAGAATACATTAAGTAGAATGTCTGTTCACGGATTTATAGTATTTATTTATTAGTTAAGGAAGACGTTTTCGTAAGTTATGATAAGCAAAACAAACATATATAATTTAATTTAATTTAAGATTTTCCCGTCGATTGACTGGACCGAAGTGCTCTATCTCAGGTTGACATGTCTGAGCATGTAATTAGAAGTTAATTGGTACATGGTGATTGGCAGTGGAATCCAGGATGTGCATTTCGGCTGTCCTATTTAGGACTCGTCAGCTGGATATGCCTGCTTTCCGCAGTGAGTGATGATGTTTCCACCACCGAGGCTCGAACCCAGTGCTCATACTTTTAAATGCCAAAGCTTTATCCACTAGACCACTTGGGCCATGAAAGCTAGCCACCACTTGTGCACTGGGTTTAAACCTCGGTGGTAACATCATCATTCACTGACTGGGGAATGCAGATACGTCCAGATGACGAGTTCCAAATAGGACGAAATTCGCATCCTGGTGGATTCCACTGCTAGTCACCATCCACCAATTAAACATATATAATCCAAGGTTTTTTGTGTTTGGAGACTGACAGTGGAATCCAGGATGAACATTGCTCCCTATTTAGGACTCATCGGTCTGACGTACCTGCGTTCCTAATGAGTGATAGCGTTCCCATTGTGACTCTGAACTTGCATCCATCTTTTCAAGCGCCAAAGCATTATCCATTAGACCAATTCTCAGTGGCAACACCATCACTCACTGGCAAGGCAAGTAAACCCAGGTAACGAGTCCCAAATGCAGTGCAATGCGCATTCTTTATTCCACTGCCAGTTTCCACCAGCAAGATTTTTTTTTTTCCTTCACGTTCCCCAGTGGAACATAGGGCTTCAAGCTAATGGCTTGAAGTTTCTGTAGCAGTGTTTATTTTACAGGATGGGGTTGCTAGCCTCATGCCCAACCTTTTCTATTCACCACTATTATTTCTGGCTCAACGAGGTAAAGGAGTGCGTCGGCCGGGGATCGAACCCCGGACCATGTGCATGGTCGGCGAGCGTCCTAACCGCTATACCACCGACGCACCCAGCAAGATTACTTCAACCTAATCCTCAGATATCGTTGAAGTGTCTGTACAAGGAGTCGATATGTCAACAGAGGTTGGCAATTTCAGCCCAATCAATTTATTCGAAAACCAAAATTGATTTAGAAACATGTGTTTATTTCAATGTGGTGGTCCTGAGTTCGACCCCCGGCCGACGAGGCACTCCTTTACTCTGTTAAGGCAGTAATCAAACTGGTAAAGACGGAAGGTTGGGCATGAGGCTGGCAAACTCATCCCATAAAAAAATAAATACCACTGCTACGGAAACTTCATAGCTCCAGCTTGAAGTCCTTCCTATGTTTCACTGGGAACGTAAAGGAATGAAAAAAAATGTATTTCAATGTGGATTTCTTCACGAACTTACACCAGTTAGAGAAAGATTTAGAAACTAAGCATTGCTACAGAACTGTTTTCTGCCAGTTTCAGACTCTTCATCAGTCAGTCCTCATGACCCCACCATTCATCTAAACGAGGATCATAAAGTGATGAGGCCATATAGCCGACCATTCAGCCACTGAATTCGGAATCAACCACTAACGATTTTAAACTCCTCCAACCAAAATTTTCTTAGACGAACACTGAATTCCGATCAATTCACAGAATAGTCGACAGGCTAGCATTGTAAACTGACCATCCTAGGTTTAATAGTTAGCCGGGTCATGAGACTACACTGATGAAGATTCCTAGAAACTAGGACGAAACTGTTCTCTTGTAATCCTTCACTTTCAATGATTCTTTAAATGAGATGTAGTCTCGTGACTGAATCAATACTAAGATTAATCACAATCCTTACAAAAATACAAGTTCTCAACAAGTAAATTACAAATGGACGAAATATTTTCTTGTTTAAAAGCTGAAAATGCAATAGTGAATATTCCTTTATAAAACATAAAGCTAATAAAGGCTTAGAAGTCGTATAAAATGCATATTTTCACAATCCATTTCACATCTAAATTAGCATATGCTTAAATGCGATCAGAGAATATTCCATAAATGTGTATTGACTGTTCCTGTTTTGTATTTGCTTACTATTAATTGCATACACAGCGGAAATACCCTTCATTGAATTGTTTAAATATTGTGGAACAAGCATATTATTATTATTATTACTATTACTGTTGCAATGACTTAACAGCTCCATGAGATTTTTTAATATATCACGGTGACTTGCCAACCTGTCAATATTACTGCTTTTTAATAATAAGTATTTCCTTAAGTGTAATGACTCATACGTATGCAGTAGGAATTCGTACAGGGAGATTTTACAGGTTTAATATTTTTTGGTTACAAGATTTCATTATAAGCTGACATCAGTTAAAGAACCACTGGAAAACCTGGGAGTGCTGGACAGCTGTTTCATCGTACTTTGGGACTCTTCATCAGTACCCACCCACCGGGACCTTCTGGTATACGAGCTCGCCTTGTAACCAGTAGTAGTGAAGAGTCTCAGACTAGCACGAAACAACTGTCTAGTACTCCCAGGTTTTCCAGTGGTTTACTAACTGATGTCGGCTCATGATGAAATCCTGTAACCAGTCAATGAAATCCCTACAAATAATACTTTAATATTTATTGTTATCATTTCTTTGAGTTTAAAGTAGAACATAGGGTTTCAGCAGTACATCCAAATTTTATTTTCCAGGCTGAAGTCATCTTCAACTAGCACGACGATTGCCCATAAGCAGCCTTCTTCTCCTCTTCATATGATCTCCTTCATGTCTACCTTGGAAAACAGCCCAAATCGTCGTTTCCCATTCGGAATCCACTCGGGAGATAACGAGGTCATCCAAATGGGTTTCTTCATAGTGTGTCCTATCCATCTCTGTTTCCACTTGGCATATTTACTGAGCAATAGGTTTTTGGAAGGTTCGCTCCCACAGTTTCTTGTTGTTGATTCTTTCTGACCGGCAATGGAGCCAGTGAATGCAGCGGTTGATAAAACTCTTAGGAGGCCTTTTGCAAGTTAAGCCAGAGGCATTGGATATGATAATGGTGAAACTACCATCCACAAATGATGCTTGATATATCCAGCTGACGAGCCTTCATTAAGGACAAAACGCAACCTTCTGGGATCCACTGCCTACCACCATCAACTAAGTGACATCACGGAAGACTTACAGATATCATCATCAAAGCGTCTATGCTAGAAGTCAACTTTCTTAACAGAGAATGGAAGCATTACAGTCAAATAATGATTAGTTGAGGGCAAATTTTTAGAAAATGACTTAGATTCTTTTAAATTTTTTTTAAGTTCACCGTTTTAAATTTCTGTAATCATTACTCAAAGAAATCAGCAATGTCTTTTTTGGTATTAGTAGTAGCAGTTGTTGTAATTCTTTGCATAGCGATAGTGGTTTCAACATTCATTAATTCAAGAATTTCACTAATACAGTTTGACCGTTAATTTTAATTTATTGATGACCTGCTCATTTGCATTACACCCCAGTTTCTTCATCTTGACCTAACACTATCCCATCAATTGAATATTGAGATATTGTGAACAGTCAACAGAATGGGGAAAGGGGAATTTTACTCACTTCTCCTTTTTTTTGTATTTTACAACTTTACTGAATACTAGTCAAATTTATGTTTGTTTGAAATAAAATGCTTTCTTAATTACCAATTTTCATCTCAATCAACCTAAAAAACATTCACAGAATTGAAAGTTCACTATTTAATCAATCCAACCTACACTGAACAACAAATATAAGTAGGCAAGTATTGGTTTGTAGGGATTTTGATTGAGTGATTGATTGATTACAGGATCTCATCATGAGCTGATATCGGCCAGAGAACCATTGGAAAACAAACAGGGAGTACTGGACAGCTGTTCCATTCTAGTCTGGGACTCATCAGCATTAGGGACACCCGGCGTCGGGGTTCGAACCCAGGAACTTCTGGTTACAAGGCGAGCTCGTATACCATTCAGCCACTCAATGGGACCCGATCCAATGGCCAGTCCATGAATCCCAAATTCTGCCAATTCACGATGTAGTGTGACCGCTAGCCAAAATCTTCGGAGACTATTTGTCCTCACTACCGATCTGCTGCAGCCTACTGGTCACGACTTCCCAAAAGAACCCAGGTAACTACCTATCTGAATAGGCCCAGTTGCTAGTGAGCATTTCATTGATATTCAAGTATTGGTTTGTAGGGATTTGAGTGATTGGTAGTATATGGTGTAAAATATAACAAAAACGCTACTGTATGAAAAAAACAACAACTTGGGTATAGTGTTGTTGAAATGCTAAAGTGAACTGAATATGGGACAAGAAATGAAGAAAGGCGATACATCCTGAGCGTAATGGGAAAATTATTTGGGAAATCCCTCTTTAAAGATCTAATCACAATATTTATACTTATTTAGATGTTTCAGCTAACTTTATGATTCTTGTAGACAGAATGTTTCGTCACACATTGTTGAGGACATTCTAATTGATTCTAAGCACTCATTTTGCACTTGGAAAATTACCCAGCCTGTAAAGCCGCCTAACGACAATGCTGAGGTAATTTTTTTAGTTTTTGATGCTACTTTTTTTGATTAAAACCACAGATTTATCGAAGAAAAATCCCCTTTTTGCTGTCTTTAAAGCATCCTTGACCTTACGCGTCTCTCAAGAAAGTTTTGGAGAGCTATACATGTTCGAATGCACAGATCAGTTCCGTGAGTTTAGACCTTAACGAGTCGGCTCTGGTCACTACATACCGTGAATGTTTCAGAATCATTTACCCAGAATAAAGATTCCACATATGAGGAAATGTCAATGGCTGATTATACTATTCAAATTTTCAAGCTAAACTAAAAGAAGCAGAAGTCGTAGTGGAGACATACTGGATAGAAGGCGAATGCCTAAACTGATAAGCCAGCGAACTCGTATACCATTCAGCCACCACCGGGACCCGACTCAATGACCAGTGCATGAATTCTAAATTCTACTGATTCGTGATTAAGCACGGCTGGCACCAATCAATGCCATCAGTGGAACATCCATCCTCACACTTGATTGGATGGACCTCAGTAGTTACGACTTCTCACTAGAACTCCAGGAAACTCCGTTCTGTATCAAGTCATTAGCAATCATCAGATTAGTTTTTCTATAGTTGGTTTGTAAGGATTAATTTGTTTTTACGAGTTGATCATGGATTGATATCAGTTAGAGAACCATTGAAAACTAGCACTGGAGTACTGGACAGCCGACTGTTTCATCCTAGTTTAAGAATCATCGGCAGTGAGGTCCATCCAGTCAAGTGTCAGGATGAATGTCCCACCAACGATATTGGTTGGGGTCGCGCTAGTCACGAATCAGTAGAAGTAATAATTCATGCACCGGTTATTGAATCGGGTCCCAGTGGCTGAATGGCCTTTCTGAAAACACTATTTAAATGTATAGCTTTAATGAGAAGTAATCAATGAGATATTTGTGGCTACATATATACTATAAAGTACTTAAAGTAAAATTCTAACCACAATGGGTAATGATAGTTGAATCATCATAGAAAAGGATACAGTTTCCACAAATAAACAGTATCACATAATACAAGCAGACCATTATACCAACACGACTGTTTGAATATGAACGAATTCCATTATACATGGCTTCATTCCAATCTTCGCTAGTTAATATCTGTGGGAAAAAAGAAAGTGGAAAAAAAAATGGAAATACGAATACAAATCAATAGAATATTTATATCATCACATGAAATTCTATATCGTTGTAAATATATAATTCATTGGCTTAAGTATTCAGGTTTCATACAGTGTGTCCAAGAGATTCGATTTACGGGCTCTACCGAATTCACTCTCGGATTTTCAATACAAACGTCAAGTCAGTCAGTTCTTCTATACGGATCAGAAACTTGGCCAGTGGGTCACAAAGAATATTTCCAACAGCCTGTTGCAGACCTTTATCAACAGCTGTCTTCGTTCTATACTCAAGATCAGATGGCCGGAAAGAATCACCAGCAAGAAACAAACTATGGGAACAAACAGAACAAGAACCAATCGCTCAACAAATATGCAGGATAAAGTGGAGATGGATTGGACACTCGCTGAGGAGGCCGCTGGGTGACATTGCGCGTCAGGCCAACGCTCGAGTGGTAGCCGAAAGGGAAACGGCGAGTGGTACGTCCGAGGGTGATATGGAAGAGATCGTGTGAAGAAGAGTTGAAACAGTATGGACTAACATGGATGCAGATGAAAAGTAGAGCAGAAGACAGAATAACAAATAACAATAACAAATATTATATTTTATAACTGTAAGAACCAGAAGGGGAAAAATCCATTTGAAAAGAATATTCTTCGTCCAGATGAACTTTTTAATTCACAGAAATTCGATGACTTATAGGTGAAAATCAACAAGTTGGCAGAGGAAGCAGCAAAGACAGGTAGTCAAGTGAACATAGAGAAGATGGAGCTAAAGAACATACAGCAACATGCCTCAATCACTATCAACGGGAGAAATCTTCCAACTGAGGTCACTTTTTTCATTTATATAGGTAGCATTGTTTCAACTACAAGCGACAGGACGGATGGAGATACCAAAACCATGATAGGAAATGTAATGCAGAACTTCACACACTCTGAAATCAGTGTGCAAAACTTCAGTACTCAGCGTTTTTTTCCTTCACGTTCCCTAGGGGAACATAGGGCTTCAAGCTAGTGGCTTGAAGTTTCTGTAGCAGTGGTGTTTATTTTACAGGATGAGGTTGCTAGCCTCATGCCCAACCTTTCCTCTCCACCAGCATTATTTCTGGCTTAGCGAGGTAAAGGAGTGCGTCAACTGGGGATAGAACCCTGGACAATGTGCATGGTCGGCAAGCGTTCTAACCACTACGCCACCAGCGTACTCAGCGTAAAGCACAAAATTCTTATTTTCAGCACGAGTGTTAAGTCAGTTAGTGCTTCTGTATGCATCAGAAACTTGTACTGCACGTCATGGACAGCGTCTACACCAAGCCACCTAGGAGTTTTATTAACAGCTGCCTTCACTAGCACTATATTGAAGATCAGACGGTCAATAAGAAGGAATTGACAACAAGAAACTGTGAGAACAAACCAACCAAGAAATATACCAAATGAAAATAGGGATAGATAGGACACACTCACGTGCCAGATCATTGGTCAAGTGGAACCAGAATAGGAGACAGTAAGTTGAGCATGGGGAGGAGATCATGTTGAGAGGATATGAAGGCTACTTATAGTCAGCTGTGGGGCCGTCAGCTAAAGAGGACTGAAGATAAGGGGACAACATGGGAATGTGCTACTGTTGATGTCCTGTGTTACACTTGGAATCCAATGGAAACAATAACGATACTAATAATTCTCATCAGGAATGTCATCTCCTGCCTCACATTTCATTAATAAACATTAATTAACCTAGTATTACCGTTGTTCTTGCTATTATTATTATTATTATTATTATTATTATAGGTTTCCAGGCCGTAGGTGTTACGAACTTCCTGGAATAATTTGAGCGCCGAGTCAGACTGATTCATTATAAATTATTGAAATTAATCCCATTAGTCATTACAAATATATGTGATGACTGCTTACATATTTTCTATTGGTGAAAATCTCCACGGACAAATGACCTTCAAATAAACTGACTTTAATTTATGTAAAATTTTTGACTAAATATTTTGATGATTAATAAAAATCCGAATAAATCTGCTGAAGAAGCTGTGGCTTGCACAGCGAAACGTTCAGAAAAATCTTGTTTTGATTTTCTTAACACGCTGGGATTAATTTAAATAATTTATAATGTATTATTATTAGTTTATATTTAGCTGTAGTGAAGATTGATTAAAGGTCACAATATAAGGAAACTATATATGTCCAAACAAAGTTCACTTTTAACAGTTTGAAAAAATTTGGGCATTGCGTATATTTTTTTTGGCTTACAGCATGATTCCACACCGTATTTTTTGGTACAGGTATGGAATTTTCAGCGTGTGATATCGGTAGCCCAAATTTTGCAGGCCGACCATAGATATCGGGTGTGCGTCGGCAGGGGATCGAACCCCGGACCATGTGCAAGGTCGGCGAGAGTCCTAGCCACTGTGCCACCGACGCACAGGATTTCTTGTATTTCCCAATGAATGAAAAACAAAACGACATTAAGCATGGTCAAAAAGGCATTCCAAAAACACGGACCTCAACAGTTGCCATTCCATATAGAGCAGAAACGTCAGACGATATCAGAAGAGTACTCAATCCGCTCGACATCAGAGTCTCCTTCAAAACATCAGACACACTACGAAACAACCGTGTCCATTTAAAAGACCCAATCCATAAAGATTCTCTATCTAATTGCGTCTATAAAATAAAAGGCTTGCTTGGAATGTGATGCGATATACACCGGACAAACACCGCCAGACAGAAATCAAAATCAGAAGAAATGAACACCGTAGACCCGACTCTGTCCAACCACCGAGAAATCCAGTCGAACTAGAAAAGCTTGAAACATCATCAGCCATAGATCTGTGTACATGCTGTAGAATCAGGCTACAAAATTGATTTTGACAATATTCAAATCATCCAGAAAAAGTATTTCAGAAATCACAAAGAACGTCTCATATCATCAGAAGCACTTCATATCAAATAGAATCCAAATTGTCTGAATAGACTGAATGATGGACTAAAATAGAATCTGACCTGGTTACAACACCTCCCTCCCCCCATCAAGTGACAAAATCAGCACGAATGTGATAAGCAATTTCACTATGTAAACACACACTACTTTTATAATTTTACATACTTAGTAATGTAAAGTCAGTAAACTTTGTCTTGATACCTTTGTTATTTGGTTTAGTGATCTTCATTGTTATTTTGACTTTCAATATGTCCCCTTTTTAACTTGACCTAACTTGTCTCTTTTCTCACCTCTTAACTCTTTGTTATATATAAGGTGAGGAGATTTTGTAAATTCTGGTTTAATAATACCACTGTGATAAAGCTATTAGCAGCAGCATTAAATAACGAAACGTCAGTAAAAACAACAATATCGTTTTGTTCTTCATTCACTGGGAAATACAATACAATACCTTTATTATAATGAATCTAAGGAAATACTAACTTATGCTCACACCTGTGAAATAAGCTAGAAAGTTAGAGAAGAATCGGTCAATAATAGTAACAGTAATAACACCTTCAGGTAATCGACAACACAGAGAGGAAGATAGAGACACAGAAATGAAAAGTAGTCAACAATTTTTTTTTCTTCAAATTTTCCGAAGAAAGACAGACAACCTTTTGAAAAGAATATAAACTCTATTTTGTCATTGGATCACATGATTTACTTGGCAATAATCAGAGCTCAGGAAATCTAGTTAAATTCTTCCTCTATTTTTTGCGCCGACAATTACTGCTTTTTATTTCGTTGAGTATTTTTCCATTTTTTGCCTAATTCGTTCATTCATTTCCTGTTCTAATATACTTTGCTTAGTAATTTAAATTTAGTCTAGAAAATCTTCCCTTTTTTTGTTTTTGTTTTTGGCTCATGAAAAACAGATTATATAATAGTTGTTAGCAGGAATCTTCCATTTTCGCCAATGATGAATTATTTATTCTCTTTGCTGAGTTGATTTCATTCTATGCATGCAATTGTGAATTATAACTAGCTATCTTAAATAAATTTCTAGTGCAGTAGTGATAGTAGTTTTGCGGCATTTCAGCATGTTTTATAAATTTGTCAATTTTGTTTTTCTCTGTCTCAAACAATTACCTAACTCATCTTTTAATTGGATGATTGGTAGTCAACAAATAGTATAACTATTTCAAGACTTCAATATAGCAAAAATATTCATTCAGACATCTATAAAACACAAAATAATTGAGCAAAGAATATGCTTTTCGATAAATTCCTCTTCTTACTCTACAGTTATAAGTACAACTTTATATACATAGAATATCCTAGATTAGTAGTCAATCGGCGTGTTTTTTAAATAATATCGATTTTTAAAGTAAGATCACAATGGAATTACAGTTCATTAAAGATGCTTAAATTATAATAAGTATGAAAAAATAATAGCAAATAGAATATCAACTAAAATTAGGGAAATTCCACAAAAATTCCGGATTGTTCTAACCTAGATGGCCAGCAGGATAAGAATAATGTCTGAACTAACTTGTTTTGGATGCACAAATTAGGCTTGTTAATATGGATCCCAACAGCCAGCCTCAGCAATATTTAGTAGTCGAACTCTTAAAGCAAAACTGAGATTCGTAGTTATGCGGTAAATGACCCTGAAATCATGATTAACATCAATCTTGTGTTCTGTCTCCACAAGATGAGACAGAATAGCGTTGCGAATAGATTTTGTTAGTCCTTTGCTTAGCCAGGCAGGGTGATATTCGGAAATTCAACGAGAAACACGCCTAATTGTACGGCCCATGTAACTGGCTCCAGAGGAGCAGTTAAATTTCAAACGTTGAGGAATTAAAAAAAATAAAACTTCACTTATTTAACTTATTTTTACATAAAATTTATATCTTGAAATGAATTTCAATAAGTTCCTTATGGTAACTATTCTACATTATCATTTGGTATTAGATGGTTGGAGGCAATCGGTTACAAGAAGCCTTGAGGACCTACGTCTCGCTTGGAGTTGGCATTCACCAGTCACA